GCAGTAAAAGCAAACAGTATTTTGACATTCACAGTTAAAATGTCACTTAGAACAAAGAAAATTTTTAAAAAATCTTATTTTCTCCAATTTTAAAATATTTTATTCATATTAAATTATGATCCATACCTAAATATTTGATGTTAAATGAAAGCCCTGTTTCCCCTGAATAAAATGACATATAATAAGTGTGGGTGCATTTAATATGAAAGAGGTGAATTACGGTTGGACAGACATATAGCGCAAATGCCAGGTTTTGTTTACGTTTTGTTTTGATCACAACTTGTACATTTGGCTGCGGTCTTAATGGGTTAAAATACAGTTTTGCAGTACAAGTAACAAAGAATACTGAACAATAAAAGTGATAAACAAGGATTACATGGGTTAATGGTAGTCATACATTGGGTAATTACATTTATACAAACTGCTGAATCATTTTAAACATTGTTATTATATTTCAACATTACAAATGCTTGATTTTTAAACGTTATTAGGCGGCAGATCTATTTTAAATATTTCTTATTTGTAGGGAGAAAGGAAAAGCGAAAGAAGACTGTCTGAATACATACCACCTTAGAAATTCATAGTATAAATTGACTGAATTGATAAAATTCTGATTCAAATTAGCTTTATGCTAAAAACCAAAAATTGCCCTTTAAAAACTATAAAGGAGTTGTAGCAAATTTAAATCATGTAATAAAGAAAAGAAGACAAGTGAATAATCTAGCAATAGGAACTATTATTACACTCTACCAAAAGAATTTGATGTCAGAGCTTTCCTGATTCTCTGCTAGCTCACTAGGTTTCCTGATTGTGCTACATTTAGACTCAGCTGAGTGGGAGAAATCAGTAAGTCTTTTGATAGATATTTTTAAACCTTTGTTCATTAACCTTAAATACAGAGTGGTAAAGTGCAGGCCCTGATCTGTGAACCCAAGATTTGTATGGTGAAATATGTGGACAGTTTCAGCTTTAGCAAATAAATAAATAAAAAAGGAACAATATTTATGCTAGTTTTAGATGTTAGCACAGTAGGAATTATGCTTACGCGTCAGCAGCAGTCATTAGTCCTAAAAAACAGGCAGACTAGATGGGCCGAATGGTTCTTATTTGCCGTCACATTCTATGTTTCTATTTAATAGCTAAGCGCTGTGCCATGAGAGACTCAGCGTTAGGCTGGGTAGATAGGAACTTAAGGTTCCAAGGTTTGGACACCAGGGAGAGAACCAGTAGTGATACCTGTGCAATCCCCAATCAAAGTCTCAAGTCAAACTAAGGCCCAGATCCAGAAGGGCACAAGTTCATCTGAGGTACACAAGGGCAATACAGAGGCAGGTTAGGAATTTCTAATGGTGGACTGACTTATTTGTCTTTGTATGTGAGATAGATAATACATAATGATCATTTATCTTTAGACATTCTCTGGTATTCTAAAGGTTTTTCAACCGTAAGTTCTTTTGGTCTCGGAAACCCATAAAATGCCATATAAGATGCAGCTTTAATGATGATATTAGTTTGTTTATCAAAAAGATTTTTGTCCAGAAGGTCCGAAATATTTCTAAATATGTCACTGTTAATATTGAGTCTTTTAGGAGGTTTTTGAACCTTGAGTTTTTTTTAATTCCTCTCGCTTTTTACTGGGTACGAGCTAAGAAAAGGATTCTTATTAGGGAATAATGTAAGCATATAATGTTGAATGCCTGCTAAATAAAGTTTGATGGTATTATATGAGAGATTTAGGTTAATATGGCAACAATTTGTGAAGGCCACTGTGGTTTCGAGAGAAAACACATTTATTACATTGAAATCGGATCCAAATTTCATGAATACACCGTAAGTTCTATTGTAAGATTTCTTTGTATTTGCTGACAATCCTGCTTATGCTAACTTGACACTCTTAGTTAACCGCAATTTTAAAGCATCAGTAGGTCCTTGAATGCCATGGGAATTTTGGGATGCTTGTTCGCTGAGCGGTGGAGAAGAGAAAAATTCCTGAAATTTAGAAAGTAATAACACATCAGCTGCAGAATCATGGGATCCTGGTATATGTATGCAGTGTAAGTAGAATTGCTGTGTAGCTGCTAACCAAGTCAGCTTTCTAATTCATGATGGTTAGGGAATGTGAACATCCTTTGTTAATTATGTTACAAGCTGCTAGGTTGTCTGAGAAACACCTGACTGGTTTTCCTTTCCATTCATGACCCCAGACATGAGCTGCTAAAATAGGAAAAAAATTCAAAAAGGGCAGATGTTTCCTTGAAATTTTCTAGAGATAAAGTTTCAGGGAGCCATTCCGCCTGTTACCAAAAGTTGCTACAGGTGGCTGCATATCCTATTGACCCTGTTGCGTCTGTCCAGACTACCGGTGAATCGTTGGTAATGGGCAGTATGAATAAGGATATGCCATTCCAAGAAGATAAAAAGAGTCGCCACATATCTAGGGACCATTATCATGAAACCATTATCGATTTCCTTTTGTAGGAGATTCTGGGTATTTTATAGGCCTGTGACTGCTGATTGTAGGTTAGGACACTCTAAGGTACCTGTGGGGAGTTAAATAAAACATGTATGAAAGCCGTCAGAAAAGCCTGAGATTAGATATTCAGTGAGATGAGAGGAAGGATGATGTTAATGTGTGTGTGTGTGTGTTTTAAGTATGTGGGATTTAGTTGTTGTGCACTTTTTTAATGTATATTTGATTTTATGGTACAGTGGTGTTTTTTTGCAAATGTTCAATTGTTGAAAAAGTTCACATTTTATGCACAGTATATGCAACAGCAGTATTTGCACTGTAAACCTTTTTTATTTATATTAAGTGTGGGTGAACATAAACTGTATGGCTATGCTGTGGTTCGTGTAGGATTTGCGTGCATGTGGGGGGGGGGGCTCCATGTCCATTTTGCTTGGGGCCCCCAAATTCCTTCAAACTGCCCTGCTTGCGGGACAGCTCAACTAAGGCATAGAGACCTACGAACATTTTTTACCTAATTGGCGAGACATTAATAGGGAAGTTAATTCATACCTATGTGTAGGGAGCGTAAAGAACGATGACGTACCTTTCAAGTAAAAAGAATGATTTTTTTTTTAATGCCTTTTTTTTTTTATTTGAGCTTTTAAACCTAAAAAGAAATTAGACTTTAAAAAAAAGTTGTTTTTTTTTATAAATCGAATGATTTATTAAAGGATTTGAAGAACCCTGTCCTATTTAATTAAACCAGTATTTACCTATTATTGGAATAAATCAGATCTTCTGAATATGGTAAAGATGAAGGACTTGGTTTACACGACTTGTAGCCTATGTATGATATACAAGTTGTCAGCATGTAGGGTAGGATTGGTTTCTGGTAATAATAATATCATATATTATTGTTTGCGTACCTAGAGTATTTTATAACCACCTTAGGATTTGCAGATGTTTCAAAGACTTGTAGAAAACTAAAAAAAAACATTAGAACAGGACAATACGGCAAGGTATAGAAAAAATGAAACTTCAATATTACTAACCAGTAATTGATCAAAGAAAATTTCTGAGCTATCGAAAGGTTAATATGAGATTCCATCCCCAGGGGGCATGCTGATACCTAAACGATTTGGAGGGAAAAGAATAAGGAAAGGGAGAAATAGAGAGGGGAAAATAACACCGGGGAGGAGAAATAGAGAGAGAGAGGAGAAAAATATATATCTTAACTGTAGTATTAAAACTTGTATTTATGCGTTATTTGAGAATTAATTCATTCATTGTTTGAACTTGTGTGAATATTGATTTTTAATGAGATTGTTCAGTAATCGCCGAACTGTTAAATTATTTAGTAAAGAGTAAATCCACCCGAGAAAGTGTCCCACAGCATTTTAAAAGTACGAATAAGATTTATCTGAAATATACACAACAGCCAAACAGTATTACATGAAAACCATTGAATAGGCAACGAATTAGTTCAGAAACAGACGAATTTCATTCCCTAGTAAAACACACGAACGGAAAACATTTTAAAATCAAACAAATTTGCATTTGGAAAATTGACGCGAACAGCATTGAACCTGATAAATTACCCGAATTAACTTTACAGTGATTAAGTATAAATGGCACAAAATAAATATTGTACACAAATGTCGTTCATATAATTTTAAAACGTAGAATGAAGTATTTGTAGAACAAATTGCCAAACAAAGCAGATTAAATATATGAATTCATTTATTTATACGAACAATGGATGCGAATGAATGAATGGTAGGTCGTAAAATGAGGATAAACTAACAGTATTATGACAGTCACAGTTAAAATGCCATGCAGAGCTTGGAAAATAAGAACATTTCTTAATTTCTCAAACTTTTTATTTTATTCATATTAAATTATGTTTCACATATAAATATTTGATGTAAAATTAAAGCCCTTATTTCTCCTGAACAAAATGATATATAAGTGTCCCTACTATGAGAGAAGTAGTGATTGATATAGCGCAAGTTCTAGGGTTTCTTACATTGTTTTAATCAGAATGTGCAAAATTGGCTCCATCCTTAAAGGGACACTCCAGGTACCCCGACCACTTCTACGCATTGGAGTGGTCTGGGTGCCACCTCCCATCACCCTTAACCCTGCAAGTGTAATTATTGCAGTTTTTATAAACAGCAATAATTAGCTTGCAGGGTTAAGTCCTCCTCTAGTGGCTGTCTAGTAAGCGCCAAGGGACATCGGCGCTGGATTCAGGTAAGTGAAGGGGTTTTAACCCCTTCAGCAACATGGGATGGGGAGGAGGGGCACTGCAGGAACCCGCCGTGCCTGGAAACTGTTTGTTTTCCTGGCATTGGAGCGTCCCTTTAACAGGTTGAAGTGCCTACACAGTGTCCCTTTAAGTGTCTGTCATTTTGCTATTCTGTGAGTGTTTGATAATGAGTTTGAGGTTATGTATGGCTAATATGGCAGTGAGGAGCTAGCTCTATGGCAGCTGAGCTAATATCACAATGAACCAATTCTTTCTCTGATTCTAATGCCCCTGTGGCCAGTCATGCTCAGGCTACTACTAGCCATCCAGCAGGGCCAGCCTTACTCTCCTCCCTCTGCACTGCCTTTAAACCTGCCGCTCCTTATTAGCCCCTCCTCCTTCTGCGCGAGCGAGCGTGACGTCATGGATCCAAACCCAAAACAGACCGCCCCCGGAGACAGAGCGCGGGCTGCACTGCCGGGACTACTTCAACCGCGCCGTACACGTCACCTGAGGCAAGGTTTGTGCTCACACGGAGTTATCACTCCGCCAACAGTAAAATAACAAGCAACCGGTCAAGGTCATAGTGGAATGGGCGGAGCCTGCACGTGAGAGAGAGGCATCTATTGGACGCAGAACGCGGTCTTTGACCTGGTGTACGGCCGCCTCTGACGTCACGACGCGAGTCCGTTTTGTGACCTATTAAAAGTGACTCGGTCTCTAGTGAGCCAGTTATAGTGTCATGGGAGCCAGAATAGGGGATAATGTGGGAGGTGACCCCAGAGTTACACTCTCAGACACATTGTTATTTTTTCTGGTATTATATAAGCACCGTAGGCACTTCACTTTTTTTTATAAGCACGTTACCTTGTTTTATTAGTTTGATTTCATTTTTGGTGGTGTGTGTGTGTGTTTGTAGAGAAGATAACACATTGCAGTGTGATCAGGGGCTAAAGCGTAGAAAAATAACACTGCATATGCATTTCAGTTTCTAGATTTTATTATATAGCACTAGTACTTTGTATTACTTTATAATGTATTAATAACACACAAAAGTATCAACTAGTATGTAAAAAAAAAAATAATAATAATAAATAAGGCCCTAATTTCATCCATTGCTTTTGGAAATATCCCTAATGATCAGTGGTTCCCAACCCAGTGCTTAAAGGGACACTATAGGCAGTGGCACCCAGACCGCTTCTTCTCATTGAAGTGGTCTGGGTGCAGAGTTCCTGTTCCCTTAAAGCAGCACTGTCATCTTCTGGGGACTTTGCTGAATTTGCAAAGACCCACGACTGTGACAGCGGCATTGGGGGTCCAGTGGCCTGGGACGGGCAAGTAAAGGTGAGATTTACTTACTTGAACCTGTTTTCTCGATCAAGTGGCCATCTTCCTCGGTCTGCTGCGATGTCACTGCTGTACTCTCATATGGCAGTAAAATATATACGTGATATTTTTTTAAATTAAAGGGACACTGTAGTTACCAGAACAACCATAGCTTATTGTAGTTGTTTTGGTAAAGGTATAATCACTATCTGCAGAAATTTTCATGCAAAGTCTCGTAAAAGGCAGTGTTTACATTGCCCCCTAGGGACACCTCCAGTGGTTACTCCTGAGATGGCCACTGGAGGTGCTTCCTGGGGCAGTGCTGCACAGTAGGTAGCATGGAGATGCTGAATTTTCCTCATAGAAATGCATTGATTCAATGCATCTCTATGAGGAGGTGCTGATTGGCCTAAATCAGGGGTTCTCAACGTTAGTCCTCAGGACCCCCTACCAGTCCAGGGTTTAGGGATTACCTGGGTGTGTCTAAGGTGTTTAGAAAAAGAGAAAAAAAAACACCTTAGAGTCTAAGGTGTTTTTCCCCCCTTTTTCTAAACACCTGAGACACACCCAGGTAATCCCCAAATCCTGCACTGGTAGGGGGTCCTGAGGACTGGGTTGAGAACCCCTGGCCTAAATGGTGTTTGGCCTAGACCCCAATCCCGCATCCTTGCCGATCTTCGCCAATACAATGCTTTCAGCAATTTTGATGACGTCACCAAGGAGGCAGTTTGGGGTCGGGGCCAGCGCCAGCAGACCCGAGCCACCTAAATGGAGGGTTTAACACCATAGGGTCAGGAATACATGTTTGTGTTCCTGACCCTATAGGGTTTCTTTAATGACAATTCTTTCTTTTTACCATATGTTATTTTTTCATCGCTTCTTATAACAGACTATGTCTTCCAAAGCTTAATATCCTGCATATGTAGTAGTAATTCTTATTTTTTTTGGTTTTTCTGTTCATTACAGAAAAACATAATCAAATGGTTCCATTACTTGGTGCAGAGATGGTGCACACACCTTTGCAACTTTATCGCTATCTTCTTCGATGCTGCAAGCAACTTCCTAATGAAAATGTCCAAAATTATTACAAACATGCCATAAAACAGGTAATTTTATTCCACATCCAGCCAAACAGGGCTAATGGTATTGTGTATTAAATGTTGTGCCAGATGTCACAATGATAGCGTGTTCCCAGGTTGTTTGCAGTCTCAGATCTTTAGCTGTTCCTGGACTACATAGTATATGTTCTTTGGGCAGCTTTTAATGTCAGAATGGAAATATAAAGTACCACCTTTTTATAGCTCTGAGTAATGTGACGTGAGGTCAATGGTTATCTAACATGCTTTGAATGGACACACTAAGCAACAAAACAACTAGATCTTAAAGGAACACTATAGGGTCAGAAACACAAACATGTATTCCTGACCCTATAGTGTTTTACCCACCATTTAGGTGGATTGTCCTCCCCTTAATCCCCCTAGAAAAGTTTAAAACTCACCTTCTTTCCAGTGCCCCGCAGGTCCGCCGGCGATGGTTTTGCCTCCTTTGTGACGTTATGAAAATGGACAGTTTTTAGCCAATCTATAGGGAAAGCATTGGATTTGCTAAAATCGCCATGGGGCGGAACCAAATGCCGTTTTGGCCAATTAGGACCTCCTCATAGAGATGCATTAAATCAATGCATCTCTATGAGGAAAATTCAGCATCTCCATGCAGAGCATGGGGATGCTGAACGTCAGGGCTGCTTTTTTGGCAGCATTGACCCAGGAAGCACCTCCAGTGGATATCTAAGGAGTGGCCACTTGGAGGTGTCCCTAGAGGCAATGTAAACACTGCCTTTTCTCTGAAAAGGCAGTGTTTGCGTGAGAAAAGCCTTAAGGGAACTACTATACTCACCATAACAACTACATTAATTAAATTGCTTTAGTGTATAGTTCCTGTAGTTTTTTTTTGGCAATGTAAAGCATTGCCATTACTGAGAAATGGCAATTTTGGGCCCTCTAGGGGCTGTCGGAAAGCAAATAGAGGCATTTCCTCCACTACTATACTATTCTGTGATGGCCATGGGCCGAGGCTGTGAGGGAAGATCAGTTGATCTCTTCTGCCAGCCCACGCAGAGCCGGCCTTGCTGCGTGCCCTCTAGGGCTCACTCACAAGCTCTTTATTTCAGCAGAGTGAGGGGAGAAAAGGTGCTGGGAGGATCTATTCTTCTTATGAGCAGGCATTTCAGAGGATTGCTGCAGTTACAACGGCATCGGTTCAAGGTACTCACAAGAAGAGTGAACACTGCCTGCAGCTGGAGGAGCTGCAGGCTAGATTTACTCATCCCCATAAATAAACAAAATAACATTAACCCCTTAAGAACGGTGGGCGTTCTATGGCCAAACACTTGCCAAAATCTGTGTTTATAATTGTTTTTTGCATTTTTTTACACAAACAAATATAAATTCTAACGTTGGTCAGTGTTTGTGACTAAGTGGCTACTGAAAATGACTGGACATACTCCATATTTAATACCCTGGCTTGTCTACTTTTAAATGGTATGCCATCATGGGGGTAATTCTCATTCCTGGGCTACCAAACGGTCTCAAAGGCAAAATAACCAACCAGGCAAATTTCAATGTGAAAAAACTGAAAAACCGTGCTCTATTTGACCCTGTAACTTTCCAAACCACCATAAGACCTATACATGGGGGGTACTGTTGTACTCGTGAGACTTTTATTTCAGTAAGAGCTAACAGTATTATGACATTCACAGTTAAAATGCCACGCAGAACTAAACAATTGTAAAAAAAAAAAATCGTAATTTCTCACTTTTTTTTTTTTTTTTAGATTTTATTCATAGTTAATTATGTTTCATATATGAATAGTTCATGTGAAATGAAAGCCCTGTGTATTTAATATGAAAAAGGTGAATTACGGTTGAACAGTGCAAATTCCAGTTTTTATTTACGTTTTGTTTTGATCACAAGGTGTACAACTGGCTCAGTCCTTAAAGGGACACTCCAGGCACCCAGAACACTTCTTCCCATTGGAGTGATCTGGGTGCCAACTCCCACTACCCTTAGCCATGCAAGTGTAATTATTGCAGTTTTTATAAACTGCAATATTTACCTTGCAGGGTTAAGTCCTCCTCTAGTGGCTGTCTAGTAGGCAGCCACTAGAGAACACGTCCGTGTTCATAGAACACGAAAAGTGTGTTATACGACGCCGGACTTCCTCATGCTATGTGAGGACCTCCAGCGTCGTCGAAATCACCATTTGAAAGCATTATTCAATGCTTTCCTATGGGCAGGTCTAATGCCGCGCATGCGCAATAGGTCTCCCCTGCCACCAGCTGCGCATGCGCAATAGGTCTTCCCCGCCGGTAGGGGGGGGAGGCGTAGACGGAGCCTGACCTAGCGCCGAGGGACATCGGCCCTGGATACAGGTAAGTCACTGAAGGGATTTTAACCACTTCAGCAACTTGGGATGGTAGGTGGGAGGGAGAGGGGACCTGCAGTGCCAGGAAAACTATTTGTTTTCCTGGCACTGGAGAGTCCCTTTAAGGGGTTAATAAAAAAATGCATTTGCTCAGATCTCACCCAGCCTCTGCAACCCTTACACACACACACACACACACACTGCACCCCTCACACGCACAGCATCCCTCAAACACATCACCCCTCTACATCCCCTATACACACTCTAGATCCCCTACACACACTAAATCGATTTTAAACACACTGCACCACCTGCTCACACTACGGTCCTGACAAACACGCCACATCTCATATACACACTCTGGATATGCACACACTAGATCCCTGTATGCAAAAACACACACTAAATTCCCTAAATACACACTCTCTGCAGCCCATACACACAATGTCACCTATACACAGATACACTACAATGCCTATGCACACACTCGCTGCATCCCCTATACACACACTATGCCCCTATACACACACCATGGCCCCTATACACACACTCTCTACAGCCTCTAGCCACACATATTATACCACAAACAAAACTCAACTATAACCGAAACACAAAAACACCACACCACAATTCGCTCACTCTACACAAGAAATCCCACAAACAGCCTTCAAACACATGTACAGTATTCTTTCCTAGCCCTTTTGTCCTCTGGAATCCTACTTATAGAGACACCAGAGACAAGATGCAAGCGTGCAGGGCCTTTTTCTCATGCGAGAGCTCTGCATGGGTTGCCCTGAAAGAGCATTGAACCAACATGCTCACTCTGAGCATGCTCTCCATTGTTGATGACACAACCCCCCCCCTTCTAGTAATGCCCTCATGCCACTGGGTTGCTGTGATTAAAAAATCCCTGGGCCAAATTTTTTTTCCCAGTCTGGCCCTGTCCATAGGCTTACGTGTTTACTGATGAAATTAGTTACTTAAAAAGACATTGCAAAAAACAGGAGTAGAAAACATCTGGCGTCAGAGTATGAACAGCTGGTAGCTAGCTAGTAGTGAATAGCCAGTTAACTCAAACATCAACATCAAGGTATGATAGCTAAACATTCGAAAGTAAAACAGTCCTGTCTGATAGTTTTATATGTGCAGAATGCTGTTGAGATAAACACACTAACGTCCTGTCCAGAGGTGTAACAAGAAACCACGGGCCCCGGTGCAAAAATTGCTCTGGGGCCTCCCAATACACCTACCTTGTACCCCACATCCCCTCCCCCCCACACATGCAGACAAACAGATACACATGCATACAGACACACACACATACACACAGAGACCCATACATACAGAAATACTTACAGACACATGTAGAGACACACACACATACAATTGTATACACACACTCAGACATATACACACGTACACTCACAGACACACACACTCAGACATACACACACTCACTCACAGACACACTAAGACACACCTACACTTACAGACACACATACATACACTCAGACACACACACTCACAAACAAACACATACATACACATTCAGACACACACACTTACACACACACACACACATACAATTACACACACACACACAAATTATTATTAAATGTCCACCCAGCCTCCCTACCTGGAGAGCTGGAGTGGATCTGTCCCTTGGGTCCAGTGGGGCTTCAGTGTGGCGGGCGGCAGAGCTCCTGTCAGACGCGGCGAGGGAGCTGTGTTCTCTCTGCTCCCTCGCGGGCTGTCTAGTGATGTTATATTCCGGCTCCCGGCATCAGAAAACAGCGTGCGAGGGAGCAGAGCAGAGCGAACACAGCTCCCTCGCTGCGTCTGACAGGAACTCTGCCTCCAGCCGGGGGGGTGGGGTGGGAACATGGAGGGGCCGGCATTTAGGCGACCCACGGTCGCAGGGATCGTGGTCTGCGACCGTGGTAGGTACGCCACTGGTCCTGGCAAAATGTACAGTACCAGGCTAGTAAACAGAGTAGACATGTAAAAAAAAAAAACTGTGCAGCAGTTGAGCTGTGATTAGTGAGAAACTGGTAGACTCTTCCTCAAAGGCTCAGATTAAAGTTAAAAATAAGTATACCTTAACTACCTGTATAGAGAAACTTTTTGTTGCAATGCATTATGCTACAAACTGTTTTGTTTGAATCTGTTCACTCTGGTTGGAAACATTACCGTTGTAGAGGAACTTATCTTCATTGCTTTCCCTGTGAGTGTTTGATGTAGAGGAGAAGATTCGATTACTGGATGGGGAGGGAGTGCTCCTATCTAGGAAGACTGTGAGAGCTTCCTTCATTACTTTTAAGACCTGTTTAGTCTTTCTAAATCCCTTCATCTTGCTTTTCATCCCTATCTTCTATTTCATATGTTTCGTCATTTTGCAAAAATTAGAGCCATAGTTTTCAAGTGGCTGATTGCACTGTATTACCTTTTGGTTGGAAAAACAAACAAACCTGTAAACACTCTAATTGCAAAATCCGCAATCTGTGACTGCGCTTAGTTTATGAACTTTACACAAGAGTTATAGCTGGATGGCTTGTCATATTTATTTACATACATCTTTTGCCTTTATTTTCAGAGTTTTCGGGTACATGCAGATGACAATGATCCTGCGAGGGTACAACAGATCATTAAAAGGGCTATTGAAGATGCTGACTGGATAATGAATAAAGTATGTATTTACTTTTGTTAAATTTGCCTTCTATAAACACACACTTGTGGACATAAAGGAGCACTCCACACTACAAATAAAAAAAATTTTTAAATCACTATTTAGTAGATCTACCCCTCTGAAGCTTTCCTATCTGTGTGCGTGCACAGCACAGCATTCAGAATGAATGCTGGTCCAATCAAAAATCTTAGAAGAGGTATGCGGAGGGGATGCAGGCACCCTCGTGTAGAGTGACGTTTCCATTAGCTCGGGGGAACTAATAGAAGGCTGAAGCAAACCTCCCTGGTTGTTTGACAGCCAGGAAGGTATTTCAATATTTCATTTTAAAAGTGCAGATTTTGAATCAAAATCTGCACTTTCATAAAGTGTCTTTTAAACGGGATACTCCTTAAACATTCAGCACTTCAGCACAGTCATACTGAGACTTAATTTAAGACACTATCAAATGGTAATAGGCCCGGTATATTTCCATTTCATGTCTTTTATGGTTTATAATTAAAAGGACACACTAAGCAACTAAACAACTTTAGTTTAATTAAGTGGTTTATGTGTATAGATAATACCCCATCAGCCTCACTGCTCAGTTCTCTGCCATTTAGAGTTTAAAAAGCTTTGTTTATGCAACCCTAGCCACACCTCCCCTGGCTGGCACTCACAGACTATTTTCACACTTCCTGAAAAAGAAGTCTAAAGAGTTTAACTTCCCATGTTGCACAGAATTTCTTATCTTCTGCTCTTTTAACTGCCTGCTGAAGCTTCCTGTGTGAAAAAGTTCAGTTAGCAAGTAAAGACATTGTGTTGTGAGATTTAATTATAAATGTAAACCTTTTTTTTTTCCACTGACACTGTATGAGAAACTGCAGGGGCATGATCTCTACACCAATTAAGCTAAATTTGGGTGCTTATTGTGTCCCTTTAACATGTGCAGAAGACATTTTATATGTATTAATTTATATATTTGAAAAACACATGCTATTTATTTTTTCCCCCAGTATAAGACGCAAAGCTAAGAACACAAAGGAAAGTGGCAAAGCTGTGTGTATGGTGACAGGAAATGAACTGCTCTTCGTACTATTATGCTGCCAAAGAAGAAACAAGCAGTTATACATCTATATTATTCTTTGCCTAAATTTTCTTTGCAGTTTTGGTCATCTACAAGAGGTTTATGAAAATCGTAATCTGACTGAAAAAAGGAGCATTCATTGGGTTTAAGTGTATGTTAACATGCATTTTTAGTACAAATCAGGTTTTCTCTCTATTTCTTTCACGGAAGCTGTTGATACTATTCTTAATCCTTTCGAAAAGGTATTTGTTTGGAGATGGCTTTGTAAATTTAAATACAGTATATATGTAAATCTGTAATAAAATTATTGATATGCATTACTGCATGTGTGTTAATTTGAATGTGTGTGTTATTTTCACTAAACTATAGACTTTGGAGGTAGATTTCATGTTATTGTTTAGAAGACATAAGTAGAGTCTCAAAAAGTGCAGTCTAAAAAATAAATACCTGTATATAATAAAGAAATAAATACTTGTATATAAACACAGGTAAATACATGAGATTCAGTTTTTTAAATTGACTCTACAGTCACCAGAACCACTACAGCTTAATTAGTAGTTTGGATATCTATAGCATGTCCCTGCAGGCTTTTCAGTGTAAACAATGCCTTTTCAGAGAGAGGGGGTGGGGAGGGCGGCTAAATATTTACTTCATCACTATAGTGTTAGGAATACATGTTTGTATTACACTATAGTGTTCCATTACACTACCAGTGTTCAAACTGGCATTACTTGTAATGGGTTTTGTTTTTTTGCTCTGTCCTGACTCTAAATTGGCAACTGTGTGTAAAATCATCCTTTTTTCTTCCTTAGCACGTCTAGAGAACTTGTGAGATTTACACAAAAAAAAAATCCTCCCGAGCTTCATAAAATAGCTACACTGTAGTTAAGTATGCTATTGCGGCAGAAGACAGATTTACACAACACACATCCTTCCTTCCTTTGTAAATATACTACATTTTATTCCATTAAGCCCAAATCCTGGCATTTTTTCACACCAGATATTGCTACTTTGTATTACTTTAGTCCTGGTTAATTGCAGTCATTTTATTTAGTATTTTAATAAATGCATGTAATTAAAGGACATTATAGTAACCAGAACAACTACAGCTTTTCAGAGAAAAGGCAATGTTTGCATTACAGCTCAGGCATACCTCTAATGGCTACTCCTCAAACCTTCCACAATACTTTCTAATAAATCAAAGTGGGTAGTCACAAACTATTATAGATATTTTACTTGCTTCCCAGCATGTCATTGAATAGTACATATTGCCAGATACTCCAAATTACCTTTTTTGCTCTGTCGCACATCTTCAATGTAGAGTTGTAAAACCGGATCGTTGTACTTTTTGTTCAGTGTTATTTAATAATGCAGATATCAGATTTGTACACAGTGAAATAAATTCAGTTCAGCTAAACAATAAAAAAATTTGGTTCAGGAAATTCAGGTTTTTTCCATGTGGCGTTTCATACAAACTAAAATAATTTGAAATTTGACCAATCAACATACTGCAAAACATATACTTTCCAAGAATATTATGTTTTGTAATTAACCAGCAGGTGCTTTTTTGTGCAATTTGGTTCACAGATTAAGTAGAAGTAATCAGCAGAGGGGAAAAAACTGAAGGAAAAAAGTGGAGGTACAGGAAATAATCTGTTTTTACATTCATATATTTATTAAATGTGCAATATATCTTTTTTTTTTTTAATTCTCACCATTTTTCCCCATTTATTGGTAATTTATAGCTTCATCTGTGAATATAATCAACATTTAGAGGCTGTTCCATAACTAGCCATAATCTCTTTTCTTTTTTTGTGCCACAGACGGACCACAAAACAATTCAAACGATTCGTCCATTGTCTGTTTGTTTTGTAATTCTTCAACATAAAGTTTTAGAGTTCAGGATTTGAGAAATTTTGCTGATTACCCAAAATGTGGATACATCACAATTCATTTAAAAATGATTTCACAAGTCTAGCAGATATGGTTATTAAAAAGGTTAGTTTGGATTTTTCTCTTACAAGACACTGCCCTAACCAATCAGGGCTATTAACAAACTTAACATGACAGAGGCACAATTGCAATCCCATTGAACTATTGCCATAAACATATACAATGCCAGTTTGATAGCATTTCAGTCAGTTCTTAGCATACAATATCTGCTTTATTTCTATACTTAAAACAGCACAATGGAATGTATTACTTGTGTTTTTTTTTGTTTTGTTTTTTTTAACTTTTATTGAAGGTTTATGACAAATCTGATATTCACTCGGGTGGAATACTCCATGAATTATACAAAAAGAACAGTAAACAAAAGGCAGCGAAGAATAAAAAATTAAAACAAAAGTGGTGATTGAGCACAAGATGGTGATAGTTATGTGCATTAGTTACATTGTCCAGAGGGAATATAAGTAGTATTTATTTTAAAAGCAACATCATATTATCCTGTGCAGTTTTATATGTTTATAGAATTTGATTATTTTTAAGATTAAGAAAAATATACATAATATTCTTTAAAATATTTAGGGAATAAATTACAATCTGCGGTTCGATATTTTTGAGTCGATTTTAAAGTGATTGTAGTCTCACTATTCTGGTTCTGTTAGAGCACTTTTTTCACCATTATTGGTTCATTGAAAGAGGAGCCTTTCATTGACATGAAACAGCCATTCTTAAGCAATCATGTCCTTCCGAAGAAGATTTATTGACACATTAAGAGAAGCATTGGACACTGTGAAAACAAGCAGAAGCAAAGAGAACTTGAGAAAGCACAGAAAGTCATTTTCTCACAATACACCAGCACTCAGAAAGATTTCAAAGCGTTTGCCTGTAAGCAAAGCTCCCCTGAGTTGATAATGTGTTCAAGCAATAATTCTTTAATCAAAAAAAACAAATTAAGACTTTTAACAAAATGTCTCATATGAACAGGTTTATTGAAACATGCATGCATATCAATGTTATTTATAATAGGTCAATGACACACATATCACCACTGCGCAGTAAAAATGGACAGGTCAGATCTAAATGGACCCATTTGGTTTGTTTTTAACCTTGAAAAAAGAGTATTGATCTTAAGATCTTGTCGTAAACGGGCCTGACCGAAGTTAAGTCCATTTTAAGCCAATAAAGATTCAAAGCTTTGGCAGCATTAATGGCAGAAAAAGTTGTGATATTTTTGGGTTGTGATTGCATAGAAAAAACTCACTCAATACTAGATAAAAAGCAAGAAGGGGCCGATCAGATACTGGATGTTGGATTGCAATGTACCCATGTATAGGAATGCAGAATGTGTACTAGCAGCCTCTAAAAGGCGGCCAAACCTTTGGAGTTTTATAAGTAGATCTTTAAATATGAACCTTGAACTGGAAAGTCAAATATGGTCATTGCAGTCCCCAATGCAAGTTTGATTCTTCACCCTGTTCTGCTTTAACTCTAATCTAAAATTAATATTGTATGGATAGGTTGACAGGAAGAATTCTATGTCACTTTATGGCGTTATTGCTCTGTTGTTTTTTTACAGGAACTTAAAGCTGTCTCCAATGATAATGTTTCCATTGAGATACAATGCAATTTTAGTTTGAGATTAATTTGTCTTCATACAAGGCTTTACTGTATTTCCTAATAAATACATTGATTGCATTGCCTATTGTAACAACTAGATGGCAGCATTGCTACACTTTCTAAAGCAAATATCTCTCATTCATAGATTTGTTTAATTATTGTCACTAACTACGTTCAATATATGTGTATTTGCTACTGTCTGCTTCTGATTTCCATAACCAACTCATGTCTTCTGTGGATAAAGCCACCAAAATTGAAATGTAACATAGATGACAGCTTGTATGCTGTACAACATCATTATTTACTTAAAGTGCTTATTTAATTCTTATACCGTATATCTGTACTTTTGTTGATACACTTTTATCAATGCATTGCGCTGGTATTTTATTCTTGGCAAATATTATTAGCGGATTTACTTACTTTTTAACAAACAATAATAAGTATTAAAATAGTATAATAGTAACAGAGTATAAGGGAATCCATTCAGACATACATAGTTGTACATAGTGTATATATTTATACAAAAAAAATTATGTATTAAATAGTATTTTTGTGATATGGATTAAGGAGATATATTTGTTCTTAATTAGTCATTTATATTGTTGTTTCTTATCTAGATCAAATACATTAAAACATTCCTTTATTGTATCTATTATTAAATTCTGGTAAAATATGATCTGATAAGCTACATTTATCTTTTAAATTACTAAATGACATAGTGAATTTCCTAAAAAGAAATCATCTACGGTAAATATAAAATGGAAATGCCAACTATTTAGATTTAATGGGGGTATATGATAATTTACAATGGATAGTGACATATATCTTGATTGATTGAAGGACGGTCTAACAGTTTTAAAAATATCTCATGCCTTGAGTGTGATTTTGGTAGTAGGGAACATACTGTAAATCTCTGGTTGTTTATTTGGGGTAACTATAGTATTTCTTTTATGGAGTTATATTGTATTTTTTTCTGTTTCCATTTCTAAACAATGTGGTCTGTTAATATTCAAATTAAATGGAAAGGTGGTGGCAACGTTTATAGCATAATAATATTTCCAAAAATCAGGGACACTCAAGCCACCATTCAATTTGAGATGTTGTAAAGTTGTTAGTTTTACCCTACTTGGTTTATTTTTGTATATATATATATATATGTGTATATGTATATATATATATATATATATATATATATAAAAATAAAAATGGTAGGTAACAGCACTCTAAGGACTTCAAAAAGTAAATGGTGAAAAAAACTTAGCTTTTATTCAGCAACTGCCACACACAATCAACGTTTCAGTTCTTAATACAGAACTTTCATCAGGAAGCTAAGTTTTTTTCACCATTTACTTTTTGAAGTCCTTAGAGTGCTGTTACCTACCATTTTTATTTTTATGTTATTTGCTTTATTAGCACCAGGCATTAATCTATCTCTACAGGAGTGCAAGTATTTGAATATTTTATATATATATATATATATATATATATAAAAAATATCAACATCCCCTGCACTCACGCTTGAAATGTTCCAAATGCCGGGCGCACCACCAGAGCTCCAATAGGTACAACATCCAATAAGAAAAGGTGGTCATCATTTTTAAATTTTTTCAATAAAACTTTTGTTTTAAGTCCGGAGAGCAGCCTTTTCTTATTGGATGTTTATATATATATATAGTTATAGTTGGATGAATTTTGTTGAAGTTACTGGTTGTCAGGATTTGGGTAACCCCTACACACAAGGAGAAGGACATTATCAACGTATGCCTAAAAAGGCAAGAAATCTTAGTAATTTGTATTTTGATATTAGTTATCATAGCTGATAAAAAAAAAGCAGATTGGCGGATTTATTCACTTGATTTAGATTATACAACTCATTTTCAAGTGTTTTAAAAATTTTTGATTGAGTTCTATTAAGATGAGACACCCTTAGAACAAAATGGCCTCTTAATATTGCCTTCTTTAAACAACAGTGTTCTCTTGTGCACTGTATTCAGGCCTCTGACATTAAATGATAATAATTTCAACATCATTATAAAACATTAATTGGAATATCAACTAGATAAAAATAAAAGAGAACCCAACTTACGGGGCACAAGAGTATTCACATTAAGACCGAAATTAAATTTTTTAACCTGTGACAGTAAACCAAGTTATTGTTGTATGTTATTGTGACACATTATACATTAAACCCATACAATACAATATATTAACATTGTGTTTGTCATATGGTAAATGAACATATAATATAGAATATTTCTCATATTTAAAAATTAATGTATGGCTGGATAAAAATAAAAGCAAAAATGTAAAATTCCAAGAAGGGGCAAAATAAACTTGGCAATATATCCTATTGGGGATAAAAATAAAATAAAAATATATACAAAACATTTAGGCCGTGAAAGGAGAAATATAGATATTTTTCTCTTTCTTGAAAAAAAACATAAGCCTATTGAGTGGGGGAGAGTTGAGAACCTCTGTTCAAAGATTCAAGCTAATGCTTATATACATACATTAGTACAAATATAATTGAACACATGTATGTAATCTT